TACTTTAAATAAAGATTATGCGAAGCTACCGCACTTAAAAAAAAAAAAAAAGGTAAATTAATCTCAGAAGGTCATTTTCCTAGCTCACACCCCATATGCTATTAAAAAATACAAATCGTCACGTGATCTATTTAAAATTGAAAAAAAAAAATTCGGACTGTTTGCCTTATAGATGATCTGCATCATATTAGATATGCAATGTATATAATACGTAAAATTTAAAATTTTTTGTAACATCCATATGCTTAACATCACTTGTTTCTCAGTTAAAAACAAAACAACGTTATTTTACCAACCGCAATTATTTTTGCAACACACTGTTATTTTATTATTTTTTTAACAATTTTTTATTGTACTTTTTAAAAGATGTTAAATTTAAATGGAACAAAAATTTGGAATGTTATGAAAAATAATAATTGATTTATACATAAAAGAATATTAATAAAAGGGAGAAATAAATGATTATAATTAAAATATAAAAAAAAATTTTAAAATTATTTTGTTTTTCCAAAGTGTTTTTTTACTTTGGGTGTAATTAATTACACCCGCCTTTACTTTGGACATAATTGATATTGCCCCGCCCACATTACTTTGGGCATAATTGATTTCACTTTTTTAAGGTTGATGATTATTAAAAAAATTTAAACAAAATTTCATCAAACATTCCTCGTTTGGTATAATAATGTTTATCCTTAAAACGATAGGAATGAGGAAATCAGTTGGGCTTAATATTTGACCCATTATGAATGAAGGGAAAATATATGTGTTGATAATTAAAAAAATGTTTATCCTTTAAAAAAGATTTCAGCTTTTCGTTTTCTTGGAATTGTGAAACAAGAAACTTTGAATTTGAATCACTCAATTTTGTGTGTGGAATATATATTTATAAAGAATAAAAATTGTTATTTTTTTTTGTTAAATAACGATTATTTTTTTTTAATTTTTTTTTTTTCGTCATTTAAATAAAAAATATGGACTGCACAAAGCTGACAAAAATTATTTATTTGTTTTTGGGCTGAAGGGGCTGAGGTGATAAGAAGTACCTTTGAAAGAAAAGCCTTAAAATAAGATTGAACATCATTCTAGATCAAGAACATATAATACTAAAAAAAGCAAACAAGAATAAAATGTGGTATTACAGTATTACGGAGCGGCTTTTTTGAAAAATTTCATCATCCTACTGCGTATTGCGTCTTCTGTCAGCTGCGGATACAAAAAAATGGTTGATTATGATCATGATTAGAGCAAAACAAAGCCACGCAAACACACCAAGCAATAAAAAATAATTCTCCAGTGCTGAAACCAAAGAGGTGGGGTTTGATTATTTAGAATCGACTTAGTCGTTAAGATTTGTGTTGATTATTTAAAATTTTTCGTTAATCAGGTTTGAGACCTAAAGTTATCTTATTAAAGATGATATTGACAAAGAAGGAGTTCAAGTTTCGAAGAAATTGTGGAAACCAAATGGCAAGAAATATCTCAAACCTTTCAGGAACAACCAATTATCACCGCTAGTTCTAAATGTGAATACACGTTGCCATTCAAACTTATTTTCACAAGTTTAATATGATAATTACATTATTGGCCTCTTAAAAAGCGTGTATACGGCGTTGAGGAAGTTCAAGTTTCTTGAATAATGGCGAAGTCTTAAAATCTTCATTAATATATGATAAATGTGGTGAACGATGGGAAATTGGAGCTTCTCTCTACTGATTCTCAATTCCATCATGTAATATAAAAGGAGGTATCACGTTAACTACATCGCAGATCTACTTGCTGAAAGAATCATTACAACGGTCAGAAATAAGAACCATATCAAAAATCATACTGTTCGATTGAAAACCATTCTTCGATTCTCAGGCGAATGAAAATCTTACATTAAAAGCCACATACCTTTTGATCTTTAAACGTAAGTAATTGTACTATTCATATAATATCATGTAAAAAAAATATTTGTATATATATGTGGTTCATTGATTTTTCTCTTATATAATAGTTCTCAAATGTGATCACATTATAGATGAAGTTAATAATAAACTAAATAAAAAATTAATGGGAAAAAAAACTAAGTAAATAAATTGTCGAAGGAGAGGAGAGGGAATTGATAAAAAAAAATTTTTGTTAATTAAAATTAAATGTCGATATATTTTTAATAGAATCACTAATTGGAAGAAGCAAATAACGCTGGTGGGAGAATTGCTGAGGACTGTACTTTAATCCTTACCGAAGGTGAATCTTTAGCAGTTGCCGGGTTGGACGTGAAAATTATGGAATTTTTCCTATTTCGGGAAAACTTGTAATATTCGGAAGGTACCCACTCTTAGATCATGAATAAATTAGAGATTTATCAAATGAAGAACATACTTGAACTTAAGCGAAGAAAAGAATATACATCAACAAGTGAATTACGATATGGGTATCTGATGATCAAAATCACGATGGAAGTCATATAAAAGGATTAATAATCAATTTCTTGGATCCCTCCTTGCTAAAAATTCCGGGTTTTATGGAATTATCACATCTATTGTAAATGTATGAAACGATTCAATCACGTTATTACATAGCCTTGAGATTCAATAATCATTTTAACAATTTTTATTTGGTTATGAAGGGTGATAAAGAAGTGTCATGCCTGAATATGAAAATTTGAAGGAGATGACGTCTGATGCTAAAATTGAAAGTCAAATATTACAAGGTAATTTTTTTTATAAATATTTTTACAAAAATAAAAAAATAATGTAACTAATGTAATAAATACTCCTATTCCTAGAGTCTGGGCACTTCTAATACCAAAGAAGCTAAGCAATATTTTAAAGCGTCATAAAAAATCTTTTGGAGAGTTGATCGATCTGGCCTTTCATAAAAAGAAAGTTTATGATCGCAAAAAATGGTTAAGTAATTATGAAGTATGTAAGATTATTTTTTCTGTTATTACCTGGTTCCAGAATATAACCTTTTTAACATAAATTCACATTCTAAAAATTTAGACCGGTACCTACATGAATAATGATGAGAAAGAAATCACGATAACGGATTTTATAAATAAAAGTTGATCTTTTTTAGTCGAGCCGACGTTCGATTTCAAATGTTCTCGACGGATTAAAACCTGCCCAGAAAAAAATTTCAAGAACGAAATTAAAGTTTTTTCGTTAACCGAGGCTCGCAATAGCTCACGACTTTATCGGTTCAAATTACATCAATATCCTTTATGGCGAAGGTCAATTTGGTACTAGGGCTCAAGGAGGAGAAGATGCAGTTCTTTATCTCATATATAAATAATCTGCATATAAAAAAAAACTTATGGAGTATTTACGAAAAACATGTTTTGATTTTATAATCTGCAAACTTGCATCTTAAATTTTTTTATCATTAATATTAACAGAAAATAATTTTATTATTTAAGTATTGTGTGCTAAAGTTTTAAATAAAAATAATACATGAAAATCATTTAGGCAAAGTTATGATATAAATCTGTGAAGTTTATTCTTCTTAAATGTATTAAACTGCATATAATGCAAAATTTAAAATAAATACTTCATTCATTACACAATAAAGAACTTTTTTTTTTTTGATTTTACTTGGATCGCGCAGTTGGAACTTCAGCGCCCTATGCGTACCATTCGATAGAAGTGATGTGTCTTATATTTAGCATACGTCGAGTCCACCGTAACCCCCCTTTGGTACTTTTATACCCAGTGTGAATTTGCGAAACCAAGGTGAATGGATGTTTAAGACACGGCATGGTTTCACCGCAAGGAGTAGACTGCCAATACCCCGAACTGCCTATGTTGTTCAGATACATGATACCCTCTCTTCATTCACATTCATCACAACTACTGGAAAGAGAGTCATGACAACCTAAGATGATAGCCTACACCATAGTTGCC